AAGTGAGACCAAAATCCTTGATTTATACCCCTAAGTGAGACAACTAGCATCCCTGACTTTTTCATTTGGGGATGCCCCCCTAGGCAGCTAGGTTTGATTACCAGCTAATGTTCAGGGAAAGAACATGGGAAAAGAACCTCCCCCGATGGTACTTCCTTGAAGGTTCTTCTTGGGGAGGATGCTCAGGGACTGGACCTGAGAGAGCAGGAGAAATTAAGCCTACATAACCATAACAGCCTAGGTGTTCCTGTTAAACAAAGAATGGTTTCTCATATAGAGTTGGTAGCCATTGATCCTGGAGGAGGGGGATACTCCCTTTTAAGCTTATATGGGCTATAGGTATGTGCGGCCCCAAAGGGTATGGTTTTTCAGCCGTTTTGGTCATAAATAGGGTAGGGAAAATCGCAGATTTTGGTCATAAATAGAGTAAGGGTTTTGGGAAGTGGGCCGCACACCCACACTAAATATTTCTGGGAGTATCCCCCCCCCCCCCCCCCCCCCCCNATACTGGGGGAGGGAACCCGTCGATGGACCAGCATTCCATCCAGGGAGGAGGAGTAGAAGCGCTGACCTGATGGGCCACTTGATGGGCCACTTTACTTTCTTTTCCCCCCCTCCTCCCCCCCCCCCCCCCCCCCCCCACCCAACCAAGGCCATTGATCAATTACGTTAAAATCAATGCTTACTTTAAAGTATTCCATGTAGCATTTGTTTGAGCCGTGTTTAATTTCAATTGCACTCTTGTGTTTTTAGGGAGAACAGGATGTGAAAGAGGAAGACAGTAAGTGGAATGTTGATCTTTTACCCTAAGTCAACCATGAGCTAACATCCTTGTTCAATCAAATTGTCAGAGAAATCATGTCCTCAAATTATCCAAAAAAGTACGTCTTGGATGACCTTAAAGGTTCTCCTTTCTTCTCAGTCCCTGAGGGGATAGTCCTCGCAGTACTCTAAAAGGTACACATTCTGAGTGCTTTGCTTTTGGTACTTAAAAACAATGCTCACTCTTTTATGAAGTGTCCCAAGTCCATCACTTTACTGATGTAAAGAACATTTTGCATTACAGTCGTAGCTGTGTTTAATACTGCAGTCTGATCCAGGTGTGTTATAAAGTTTTTAAACTTACAATTTTCGCTCTCTCTTTTTTTTTTGTTCTCAGCCCAATCAGCTGCTGTTTCTCAGCCAGAGGACCAAACTGCTGAAAATATTTTAGCTTCTGTTACACCTGGCAAGGTCAAAACTATTGTCAAGAAAGTAGCAGATGAGGTGTTAGGAAATTTCCAGGTGTGTATAAATGCAGAGTAAACGCTCAGTCTAGGTTGTGTATATTAATTTGCTTGTCTAGACCTTTGTTCTAAACTACACCAGGAAGTAACAATCAGAACAGAATTGCTGAGAAAATCAATGCCATGTAGGGAAGAGGTTCTCTGTTATTCAACTGCTCTTATTGATATTTACCGTCTACAAAAGCTCTTGGTGTTCTGCTCTGTCAGTAATTTGGTTATTCAGGAAAGTCATTGCCACTTTGTAATGTTAATTGTGCTAAAGCTCTGTTTATATTTTGTTTATTGAAGGCTGAAGTTGAAGCAAGACTCAAGGACAGAGAGACGGTCTTAGCTGGAAAAATTGGGAAGCTGCAAACCAGATAGCACAATACAAATTTATTAATAGTTAATCTGTAT